ACTCGAAACTAAACCAAATACCTGTCCATCTATAGATCCCTGGGAGCCTAATGAGATTTGGATCACAAGTATGACCCAAATTCAAGGAAGGGAACTACAATGAATAGGTTTGACCTTCTCCAATTATAGGGCAAATCTCCACTGAAGTGGAGACAAAACTCAGGTCCCTCTTCTGGACTGAAAAGGAGGCAGGCTAGGGAGGAATCTTTAAAGTACACATCTAAGGCTGAGTGTGGTGGTACATGCCAGTGGTCCCGGCACTGGGGAGGTAGAGGCAGGAGGGTCTAGAGTTCAAGGTCTTTTTTTTTTAAGATTTATTTATTTATTATGTATACAGTAGTCTGTCTGCATGTATGTCCACAGGCCAGAAGAGGACACCAGATCTCATTACATATGGTTGTGAGCCACCATGTGGTTGCTGGGAATTGAACTCAGGACCTCTGGAAGAGCAGCCAGTGATCTTAACCTCTGAGCCATCTCTCCTCGACTATAGAACAATATTGAGACATGAGATACTGTCTCAAAAACAAAGCAGACCCACAAACCAAACAACTACAAAACCCCAAACAAACACTCAACTCCAAACCAAAAGAACAAAACCAGCCCCTTAAAAACCATTCAGACAGATGACTCAGCTGTCCTGGGTACACAGCCACATCTCTTTCTGCTGTCACCAGGCCCATAGCACCTGCCTGCCTGAGGTTCGTTAGGATCATGGTGGCAGATGAGAGAGGGACAGTTGGAGAGCTGAGACCTTCAGATCTGGACCATGGTGCCTGCCTCCCAGGGAAGCAACAGTTGGGCAGAGAATCTGACACAAGCAGAGAGTTGCAGAACCTCAGACTTCTTAGCAACGACCCGATGTGAGATTTCTGGAAATGTCACTGTATGGGTCAGAGTGAAGCAGCCTTGACTACGCCAGTTGTCACCCACTTTGCTATGGCGGTGGACCTGGCTGTTTACAGAGTTCTCCCTTGCCGGGGCTGGCTGCTGGAATGGGGGTTGAGGATAGCTGGGTGCCGTGTTCAGTGTGCCCCTGCTCCTCCTGCAGGAAGCCACCTTGGTGGTCAGACGTCCTTACTCACTATTACTCACAGCTGCCACTTCCCATGGTGAGCTTAAGCTCATCTCACCTCATGAGCAGGGTGGTTACTGCCACCTGCTGCGAGGGGCCTCCGTGGAAGGAGGGGGAACAGGGTGGTCACTTTCCTCCTTGCTGTGACATAGCACCTGACAATTCGCTCGAGAAAGGAAAGTTTGCTTCAGCTCACAGCCTGAAGAGACAGTCCACCATGGTGGGGAGGATGAGGAGCCAGGAGCATGAGGCAGCTGGTGGGGGACGCCCTTCTGTGTGCATGTTTCTCTTATATGGCTGATGAATAAAACACTGGTTGGTCAGCAGCCAGGCAGGAAGGAAAGGCGGGGCGACCAGAGGAGGAGAAGCTGGGAAGAGGATGCAGAGGGTGAGCTGCCACTGAAGGAGAAATAGGCTGGAGCATTCTCTGGTAAGCCAAAACCACACGGAGATACACAGAATAGAAATGGGTTAATGATTAAGAGAGAGCTAGTCAATAGGAAGCCTGAGTCATCGACCAAATAGTTTGTAATTAATATGTCTCTGTGTTTCTTTGGGACTGAAAGGTGGCGGGACCGGGCAGAACAGGACCTCCGCCTACATGCAGTCATGCCGGTACACAGCTTGCTGTCTCCTTTTCCTTCAGTCTGGGACCTCAGCCCATAAAGACGGCACTGCTCACATTCAGAGTGAGTCTTCCCAGTGCAATCACACCTCTATAGAAATGCCCTCTCCCACACTCGCCTAGAAGTGTGTTTCCATGGAGTCACACCGGTGCGATTCCAAACTCAGCCAAGTTGGCAATGAAGCTGACTGTCGTGAGTGAGGCAGGATTCCGAGCCAAGTCTGAGGTCCGCTTGTTCACACCGTGCACTGTGCTGTGTCAGGTGGACTGACTAGCTAGGCCCCTCTAGAACCACCTTAGGCAAGTCTCACCCACAGGCTCTTTTCTGTCTCCATCAGGCGGATAGGGCAATGCTCTGCCGGCTCTGCCCCTGACACACATGACAAGACCTCCCCTCAAGGGCGTGAGTGCAGCACTTCCCTCAAAGGGAACCACACACGAGATTCTCCTAGTGGTAAACATGGAGCTCTGAGGGCAGCGTCACCTTTTCTGTTGCTACAACAAAATGCTCGAGGGTGGGTGAGGGAGAATTACCTGTTTTGTATCTGGACCCTCCCTGCATCTAGATTATAGAAACCTGGAAAGCACAAGAGTTTGTCTCACAAGCTCCGTGGAAGAGGGAAGAGGAGGGTCCCATGACCCGTGGTGGAGAGAGCATGCCCTCCCCACGCAGAAAAGCATTTGCTCCTCTTTGGCTGCTGATGGTGGTTCACTGCCACTTGGGTTTCTTTCAGAGGGGTTAAACCACGTGCAAGCTGCAGCAGTGAAATGTGGTTGGGCTTCCAAGGAGCCAGTGTTAGGGCACATCATGCTTCAAGCATGTTTCTATACTTAATGCATGCACATTTGTTTGTGTAGTTACGTGTGCATACAAGGTTGTTTCTGTATATGTGCTTATGTGTCTATTTATAGGTGTGTGTATCAATTCTGATCCATCTCATGGCCACTGCACTAACTCAGGCCCACATACAGCCCAGGACCCACACCTACTGCTTAAAGGCGCACCCCAGTTTCCTGTGCTCAGTTACCTGCTGGCTTTTCCCGCTTGGGGTCTAACAACAAAATCACCAACAAAAAAGAACACACACATGAAAACTGTGTCCAAGTGGGGCTCAGACACACCTTTAGTCCCAGCACTTGGTTGGCAGAGGCAGATGGAGGCCAGCTTGGTCTACAGAGTGAGGTCCTGGACAGCCAGAGTTACATAAATGAAATGGAAAAACATTTTTTTAAGAAGGCCATACAGTAACGTGTGGCTGGTCAGACAGGGTGGTACAGAACCGTAACAATGACTTTGGTCCATGAATAACTGGAAAGGTATTGGTTTGGGGTTTCAAACATCTTAGTGAGGTGAATGACAAATGACTGACATGCCTTTGGGCCCGCCCACAGCTGCTGCTCAGCTCTCTTTGGACATCCTCTCCTCCTCAGCTGTCTCCCTGGGCAACCGACCAGACCCCACCATGTCTATGAGCAGCAGCAGCCTCGGCCCCACTGCAGAAGGCCTGGCTGACAGACAGAGCCTGCTCCTCTACCATCCAGGCCTGCGCCCAGTGTGCAAAGGGGGAGAAGTTGGAGAAAGGTTCAAGACCAAAAGCCCAAGATAACCATTGCATGAAGCCATTCGGGATGTCTCCCCTTCCACTTGCAGGCACCCTGGCCCAGCAGCCCCCTGCGGAATTGTCAGGCCACTTTCTGGCCATTAATCGGAGTCCTTCAGGGGCAGTTGCATTAGCCCATCCTAAACCCCAGCTGGGCCCTGGCGGGCAGGAAGTGGGTCTGGGAGACAGCAGTGCCGGAGCCAGCTGGAGCTGGGGCTCTAGGGTGTCCAGTGCCCCTTGGTGTGGGCACCGCAGCATACCATCTGTGCTCCTGTGGGGCTGTAGGTCAGATACACGGATGATCACCGTGTGAGACGGCCCACGAATGGATAAGACTGCCTCTTACTTGAGAGGCCAGGGACAGGGATGGAGGTGTATCCCATGGAGGATGGAGAATTCCTCACTCCAGTTTGGGTGAGGCTAGGTTGCAGGGGTCCTGCTGAATCCAGCCTGTGGGCAGAGGGCCAGTGTGGGTGCAGCAAAGTAGGTGTGGGGCGAGCCCTCTGAAGACAGACCAGGCACTGCCCTCCATGATGACCATGCAGCTTTCTTAATGGAACACAACCGCTGAACTTGGTACATTTCAAGCACTTTAGCCTTCCAGGACAGCAGACTGCTGATGGAACCCATCTTCAGAGGGCGGGCGCCATGTTAATGAGAGGCCAAATTTCATATGCTTGCAAACTTTCCCCCCTGCGGCCTGCTGCTCTGCACACTCCACCCCCCAACAGAAGACTACATCAGAGGGAAAGAGAGATTTCCATAATTTATAGTACGGCATTTCACTGGGGACAAACGCTAATCTGTACTTACCGATACATTTAAGAAAATGCATCCTCCCGCAAGCCTGCGCCATTTACGACTCTTGGCACAAACCGCAATGCTCAGTCTTCAATTAAGGGACACCTTAGGGTTCATTATCACACAATTGCTCCCTGTGAACCATGCCAAATGCTGTTTTGGCACTGAGCTTGGAAGATGAATTAGAAGGAAGTCTTCCCTGTAATGCCCTCTCCAACTCCCATTACCGTCATCAGCGCCGATGCCCTCTTGGCCGCCCCCCCTCCCCAAGTGGCTTTCACTATTCAATCTCTCAACGTCAAACTCGATTCTCTAGAGGTGTAGTTAAAGACGCCACATCTCCTTTCTGTCTTCCGGCTCTCAACAGGCCTCAGTGTGGCCCAGATGGGACACTATCCCCAGCCCCTTTTGGGCTAAAGGATCCACAGATGTGTCTTTCACTCCTGTGACAGACACAGACACAGACACACACACAGACACAGACACACACACACACACAAAGGGTTCTGAGCTAATGGGCTTGTTGTCTATACTGAGATAATACTACAGCATAGCGGTGTAAGGTGAAGGTTGAGCCATGCAGATGCCCTGGCAAGAAACTGAATTTCAAGCCAGTTGCCTCCAAAAGGTGACAGAAACAGCCAGAAAGGCTGCCTTTAGCCTATCAGGTAAGTCCTGTGGTCGGGCCTGCAGTGGGACAACAGTGGGCAGGGGCAGTCCACATCTGCTGCTGTCCCAGAGTCCTACCTGAGCCTGCGAGAATAACCCTCACCCAGTCGAGCACAGGTGAGTAGGGCCAGGATGCAGCAGCCAGGGAAGCAAAACCCAAGAGTGGTCAGGCTAATGCAAAGCAAGGAAGCTCGAGAGCCAGGGGCCAGCAGACAAAACAGACAGAGAACACTTTGCCCACAAGATACCTTGTGGGAATTTTATTATATAGAGTGTAAAATGAATTGTCAGTCAAATAAAAAGAACACCTTAAAAAAACAAACAATCATGCATAACATTTCCAACTGCCTTTTTTTAATAGTTAGACATTTCAAGCATTGTAAGGAAAACAAGAGAACCAGAGACTGTAACTTGAGTACATTTCAAACGGAATGTTCCTCCGGGTCAATTCAAAATACAAGAAAAAAATAGCTCCAATTCTGTTTTTTTCTCTTTAAAAATACATGTTATCTGTACAAGATACACTACAGTAAACATTGGAAATCATATTATCCCTTTTATTAAATCAAAATTATTTAACTCATACTGTGGTTAATACTAGATTTATTTATTTATCTAGTTAATTTGACAAATATTAAGAAAATATTTAAAAGAAAAAAGCAAAAAACACCTTGGAATTAAAAAATAGTTACTACATTTTTATATGGTTTAATGTCCACAGTGTTTGTTAAAAGTTATATTGAATTTCTTTTTAATATTAAAAATAACAGTATTTATATTTCTGAGAATAGAGAAAGGCTTTTCGTTTTTAAAACCAGCTTGGAGGTCTTAGACACACAACCGCACTAGGTAATGGAGACGGTCGGCAGCTTACACGACGGCGGACTGCATGAGTCTTTGCATTACCCTCAGAATGCTAGGAATGACGCAACCCACAAACGCCCCTCCCGCAACACAAGGACCCGTCTCAGTTCAGAATTCACATCATTAATTACAATACATAATAGTTCAGCTTAAAAAAAAAAAACGCAATAAAACTGGACAGCCAAGATACAAGAAATTAGAGGTGAAACACTTAATGAATTTACATTTATGAATATTTAAATACTGTTTAAAAATTTTTAAAGAATTTGTTACATTACCACCTAAGACTTCCAAGCCATTTTTCTGTTGCAACAGAAAACAGAAACAAACAAACAAAAAACTGTAAATAAAAAGACAAAAACAAAACAAACCCATTATTTGATGAAATGTCCAGACTCTGAGAATTCGGGCACCTGAGCTTGCAGGCTTTGCTCCAAAAGAACCCAGAGCTTACACATTTGAAGTAACAAAGAAATCATGACACAGAAATTATCAGCAATGTTTAGTAACTAATTTTCCCGATTTTTAGAAAATTTCAGTTAATCTAAATATAGTGTTTCACAGAACAAAACAAAGGTTCTTCATTGAAAGGTTTGCAAATCTAAAAATCTCTGTAACAAACAGGGTTCTCTCACACTGATTTCGGGGAAGAGCCGCCGCAGACGCCCATCTACTGCTCCTGTGGGGGGAGGGGAGAGGGTCAGCCCCATCTGCCTGCTGCTGGAGTCTCAGGACCCCAGGTTCTAGGGTCAGGACATTGGGGAGGGCGTTTCCTGGGTCACCAGTCCCAACAAGGTCTGACAAGGTGCCCTGTGGGAGCACTAGGCCCTTCCCCCTTAATAGAAAGCTCATTCTTGGCTGAGGATTGGAAAGAGCCCTCCAACTTTGCACACATAAAGAAAGAAATCAAGTTGGTCCTAGGTCCCCGAGGGTGTGGACCTACTACCCCCTGCTGTGCAAACAAAGGCCACAGCCCTTCAGGAACTACTGAGTGGCCCTGAAGTTCACTGCAGACCCAGGGAAAGTCCAGGACTTATTTATAGCTGGGCTATTAAAGCCCAGAGCTAGAGAGCAGCACTTGAGCAAGCTCAAGGCTGGGATAGAGGGAGACAGAGGAGATCCCCCACAGGCCAGCGTGCTCACCCTGGGACTAGGCAAGCACAAAAAAGGCTGGGTGGCATCACGGCGCTGGGGACTGGCTACAGACCTGGCTGTGGGCCTGAGCCTGCCCTAAAGTCTGTCCGTAGAAGGCTGCCTGCTGCCTGTAGTACTCTGCCCAGGCCATCGTGTAGTCTGGCGGGGAGCTGGCCTGTGGGGCAGCACTGGTGGTATGACCTGGATGACAAAGAACAGAGAGTTAAAGGAGGGAATGGGAGGCCTTTTCCAGGCCTTTGGGCACCTGTCGTCCCTCGCCCCCCAATGCTGCTGCCATTTGGTACTGCCGAGTTGCTTGCTGTATCAAGTGCCGTGGGCATTCTGTTGCTAGTCTCTGCTACTTCTACAGGACTCCCATACACTGCCCACCCAGCAAATCTGGGTGTCAGAGAATAAACACAGCCACAGTGGGAAGAGATAGTGCAGCGTGCCACTTAGATGTGGGCAGGTTGGAGTTGATGTTAAGCAGGCCCTGGGTACCTCGAATGCAGGCACCTGAACTCACCCAGACCCCCAATGATGAGACCACATGACATCTGCCTGTCAAGTCACCCGAGGAGCTAGTGGCCCAGAGAGGACTGCCTTCAAAGCCAAGCAGCTTTTGACAGCATTAACCTAGGCCTTCTCACTGGCAAGTGACTGTTCTAGGTGCAAGATGTTGCCAGGAGAGCCTTGCATCAGACCCAGAACGGGCTTCAACTGGAATAAGCCCAGGCCCTTTGCAACTGATAATCACTCAGGGGACATTTTTGTGTAGGCGCCCCTCAAGCCTGACTTGGTTCCTGGTATTGTAAAGAGAATGGACTTCCACAGGAAAGATAAGCCACCAGTATCCAGTGAAGTGGTACCCTTCCCTGCACTGTGACCTCTTGCCTACCCTGACATGCCCCACCCCAACCCCCAAGGGCACAGGGGGTGGGAGGTATATGGCTGAGGACAACACACACAACCAGCAGCCACTGGCCGTATCTGACTTCCTCTGACAGGGCATGGCAGAGACAAGGTCCCCAGGTGCCGTCCCAGAGGGGGTGTAAACCAGGTGGTATTGGACAGCAAAGCCCACAGCTGGGCAGTGTATGGTAGCTGCACTCACTCTGCTTTTTGTAATAGTCCTCCCAGACCTTGCTGTAGTCGGGCTGGCTGCTCTGTGGCTGGCTCTGCTGGCCTGTGCAGAGAACAGACAGCAGTCAGACCTTGCTCATGGACTCCCATCCTGCATCACTTGGGCTCCAGCAGGGAAGGCGCAGTAATCACAGAGCAAGGCTGCAACCAAGGTCATTAGGAGGCAGGGCTGAAGCCATAGGCGTCTTAGACTTTCTGGACCTAGTTCCCAGTGGACAGAGTGCAAACAGTGCTGATACCTCATCAGGCCCCTCAGGTTCCCGTACTACGCCTCTAGACGAGGAAAGTGAGAGCGGGAGCTCCCGGTGTAGAACATGACACGAAGGCACACTGTGCACACACCAATGGCAGAAGCAACAGACATCCAACTAGGATCTTGCCCAGCCTTTCTGCATGGGAACAGCACAGAGGCCTAGGCACCCCGTTCTCCACGGTTAGCAGGGGAGGCAGACATGAGGAGACACCCACTGGGCTCGGGGCAGGTAAGCAGAGGACAAGTCAGCAGGGCCAGGACTCACCAAAGCCCTTATCTCTTTTCAGAATCAGCCTAAGGCAGACAGGAATGTGAGGAATGTGCCACTCAACACAGCTCAGCAAAGCCTTTTATTTCTGCCATGCCCATTAACTAGAAACCAGTGGCAGGGGAAGGAACAGTTGCTGAACTGCTTTCTTTCCTGCAGCGTAGGGGTGTGCACAGGCCTGCTTCCTGACCTGTATGCACAGGCCCGGCACTGCACACAGGCAGAGCTCAACCACACAGGTGGAAGGGCCGCCTTTCTTGCTTCCTCCTGCTCACAACGAGGCCAATCAACTGGGCTTCAGGTTCTGCTGAACCCTGGCCCTAAGTGCTCCTTTTGGGGCTGTGGAGAGGAGCAGCTTTTCTCTCAGGGCTTACTCTGAGAACAAGGGGGCAAATGGGATCACAATCCTGTCATCGTCTTGCCTGGGCACTTGCTGACACGGAAGCACCTGTCATAGCCTGACACTTGTGCCGTCAGGTTTGAAAAAGTCAGAGCAGAGCTGGGTGTGGAGATGGAGTGAAGTCGGCACCTTTCCAGTAGCTTCCTGTTGGTTTCCTCAAGTCCAGGTGACAGAAAAAGCCCCTTGCTCTACATCACCTTGACACAAGAAGACTGAGTGAGAGGGTCCTTGGCAGGACAGGCAGGAGGCTGCTTAGAGCAGGGCCCAGGAAAGCTCAGCCCTCTCAGAAAAAAATGGAGACAGGAGAGACTCTCATCAAACCACACCACTGTCACTTGTAGCCACTGCCAAGCCTGAGGTCATGTGAGCCATGGAAAAGCAGCCTCACCTCCCTGTGTATCCCCACATGCTGGGTCCCCGTCTCTGGGGAGGAGCTGGAGTGGAGCAGAGACCTCACACCCCCATTTCTCTGATCTGGGAGCCTCAGCCAGGCCACCTTGGCACACACCCTCACCCTCTTGTGAGTCACTTACTTGGGACTTGTGTGGGCTGCTGCCACGCCTGGTAAGTGCTGCCCCAGCCCTGGGTCAGAAAAGCTGGAGGGCCACTGTGGATGACAGAAGAGTCTTTCACGACAGCACGGGTCACACACCCTTCCCCTGCCTTCCAACCACCCCTCTTTACTGTTTGACTCCCTCACCCTCCCACTGGCAGAAGGACAGTTGATCACCTACCTCACAGGGGTGCTGTGAGGGCTCCCGTTAACTTTAGCAGCAGCGATGTTGGGGAAGCCCCTGGGAGGAAAGGCACTGTAGGGAAGGGAGGAGCACTGTTGATTTGCAGGAAGGGCTGCCCTTTCAAGCCCCTCCCCTCCACCCAGGCTGTGTGCTCCCTTGGCCATGACTGAAAACCCCCTGAGATCTGAGGCCTAATCCTGACGGGTCAGTGATCTATGGAAAGGAGATAAAAACACACAGTACCGTCCCTGCCCAGGACTTAGGCAAGCACTTCTGAGGAGCGGGACAGAGGAGGCTGGGCAGGAAATGAACCTTCCACCAGGATAGAGGCAGAGGACTCACTTTTGATGTGGCGCAGCTGGTGGCTGGCTGAAGGGGCTCTGTCCAAAGGCTGCAGGGGCTCCGAGGCCGGCACCCTGTGTGGGCACAGAGGAGCTCTCACCCCTGTCACCTTGTCACCGCGCCCTCCGCCCGGGTCCGCCCAGGGAAGCCCACTATGGGAGGCAAGTCAAGTGAAGGAGACCGTTCTGCACTCACACTAGCTTCCTTCCCCCAGCAGACAGTGTCTGCAGTGGTGGCTCTGCCCCTCAACTGACAGACCACCACACAGCCAGTCCTGGCACCACCATGATTGCCCTGGCATGTCACCCTGGGGGAGGACCAACCTGCTTGACTCTCCCGTCAATTTAGGCTGGCCCAGGGCTCTTTCTGCCATTCTACGTCCCCATTGAGGTGAGCAGTGGCCCATCTGTCCTCCATCAACACTCCCTTTCTTTATCTGCTTTGAGGTGCCTGAAACTAAAGCCAGAGTCAATGAAAGCTGCCTGCGGGGCTGGTGGCCAGGGTGACACCTGAGGGAGCCTGGGGGCAGTGCTGGGGGAAGGCCACTGTCAGGCTGCTCTATGCCTGCAGGGACACGCTCAGAGGTCTGACTTCTGGAGCCTCGGTCAGTCACGCCAGAGGCTTCTTTCATTGCATCTGGGCCTGGCATTCCCTGAGCCTTGGACTTTCGCTTTGGCAGAGGAGAGGCTGCCCCCACGTGATGCGAGGATGGAGAGGCACAGGAAGCGCAAGGTTCTGGGGGGAAGGCAGGTACCTTGGACATCCAAAAGCAAATCCAGCTAGTATAAGCCAGGTGGGGAAAGGCCCGGTACGTACGCCAACTTTCTCATCTATGAGATGCCTGGCCACCTCGATCTGCTGAGGAGCACCCCTGATGGTAAATATCCGCAGGTTGGGGTCCGTGTTAGGAGGGGGGTTCCGCTGAAGCTCCACATGGGCACCTGATTGCTGGTTGATGCTTTTGATGTTCTCACCCCCTGCAGGCGGGAGATATAGTTGATTGGACCAGAGGTGGCTCTGAGTTTGTGTGTCCTATGTTTAGGGGAGGCTGGAAGGTACATGCCAACTCTTGTTGATAGATAGCCACTTTCTTCTGCTTATTGCACAAGGGCCCTGACAAAATCCAGGGCTTCTTGCTGGCAACAGTAGCTATCTGAAGTGAAGATGACCTATTGGAGCTGGACTGAGGTCTGAGGCCACGGGGCCCCAGAAGGGTCTGGGCTCAAGGCCCTTGGATCTGCTGGTCACTGAACTCATTCCTGACTTGAAGTCCACCCAGACAAGGCTGATCCTTCGCACTGTGAGAATGGAGACCTGATGGCCCTACCATATACAATGGGGCCTTGAGTCTAGGCAGGGGCTGCCCTCCCTCCACAGGTCAAATGGGCGGCTACAGGCCCCAACAATGCCTGGAGCCCACTCTGGCCTTCAATATCACACCCTGTTCCCTCTCAGGTCCCTCTGCCTTGGTGGGGGGATGGGTCCAGACAGAAGCGGTACAGAGAGGGAGGAGGAGGGGCACAGAGCCTGGATGGAGCAGGGTGATGGAAATGTAGTTGTCCTCTCTGAAAACTGGCAAAACTTAATGAAATGTGAGTAACAAAAACTCCACCGGTGAACAATGACCCAATCCTCGTGAAATTCCACCGAACTCACGGATCCATTGCATCCATCCACTCTGGGGGAGTGGAGTATAGCCAGAATTCAAGGGAAACCTGGAGCACAAGATTTACAGACTGAAGAAGCTAGAATGCTTCAGGTCTGGTATGAAGGAGCAGGGAGTTCACGAGTGCCTGTGCTGGGTTGCCCTGCCCATTTCCCAGAAAACCCAGTTTGAAATGAAATGTGTAACACACTGTAGGGTATCCCAAAGCCCTGTTTTACACACCCCAACCTTCCCTACTGCCTCCCTCAGCAGATGAAAGTTCATCCAAGCAAGAGACAGGCAGCTGAGGAAAAGCTTTGTCTCTATTTCACCCTCAAAGGGTCATGAAACAAAAATGGAGGTGAGTCTTGGTGAGCCTTCCCAAAGGCTCACTGAGGACAGACTAGAGGCGACAGCTGAGTGTTTGCTGCATGCCCAGCATCTCTGCCCCATGAAGAGCGAGCAGCTTTGTTCTCAGTCAAGTTGTGGAGATTCAACAAGAAACAAAGAAGAAACAGGCACTTGCACCAGTCTAATCTCAGATGGCCCCTGGCCAGCAGGCGAGAACTAGTGTGCCTGAGACTGAGGACTGGCAGGCCCAGACAGCAGAGCCCCCAGCAGCCCACCTCAGCCGGGCCAGCAGCCCAAGATGCTCTGCTGGGACCTCAGGAGCATGCTAATCGGGTATGGAGGCACCGCAAAACTGCATGCGGCCAGAAGGAGTTAATTGAAGTTCATCTTCCTTCAAAATGAGGTCAGTAGTTTGGCACATGGTGGCTGTCTTGGACTCATTCAGCAGCCTGCTCCATTCTTCCACCTGATGGGGGGCAGAAGTGACCCACCAGCGGCCCGGCTGGATGTGAAATCGTAAAGCAATTAATCAAAGCTGCTAAAAGGCCTGGCTGACAAGAGCAGGGCTGGCCAGACTATCTGTCAATGTTGCTGTGTTTATCATGGAAATCCAGCAGGGGCCCGGGAGGCTGTCCAAGGACAGAAGCTGGGAGGGAGAGCTCTGCCTGGTTGCCTGGGCTCTCTCTCCTTTAGCCACATGCTTTTCCCAAGAAAAGGAAGCTGCTTATATGAAAGACCCTCACGATGGTCACCTTAGCTTGTGGTGGGTCTAGACTGTTAGTGAACACAGGGACAGGGTGTCAGCCACCACTTCACTGCTATCACTGTCCTCTAGGGCCTATTTGGGTGGCTCTGTGGAGGGTAGACAATGATACCACACACACGCACACGTACACACACAGTGGGGTACTTTGCTAGGGTCTGCTGAAACACACTAAAATATCCCTGACAAGATGGTTTTTAAAAGGCTACCTATATCTGATCCCCCCTACCTATAGGTATCAGGTGAATTTAGCCTCTTAGTACTGTCAACGGGTTGGGTGGGGTGTCAGAATGTCTATCATTCTAAGTAGCAAGCAGGGTCAATGACACATTTAGCAGAAAACAAAAACAAACTGCTCTACTTGTCACCATGCTGCAATTACAGCACCTGGAGCAGAGGTTCTCAACTTTTTGGTCACAACCTCCAGAGGGGACACATATCAAATATCCTACGCAACAGTAGCTATGAAGTACCAATGGAATAATTTTATGTTTGGGGTCACCACAACTCAAGGAATTAAAGGGTCAATGAGCTAGGAAGGTTGAAAATCACTGACCTAGAGGCTGAGACAGGAGGTAGAGGCAGCCTGGTCTCAAACCAAAACCCTTATTCACTATTCCATCCAATAATCTGAAAGACACGGACACAGGAGTGATATCTTCAGATCCTGGGTGTCTGTGGTGGTAAAACCCACTTCAGCTCCCAAGGTCACACAGGCGTGGCTGAGATCTGCTGGTAGAGACAGCTCAAGTCACATTCCCTGTGGGACTCTGGGGAGAAGTCATTTTTTTCTCCCTATGCTGTCAGTCAAATGAATAATGAAGGAAAACATAAAAGCCAACTTGGTTGGTAGCAAAGTTCAGCTCAGTGCTCCCAGGGAGGCCAGCCAAGTCAAGGTGCTCCACGGCCTACTCTGACTGCTCCCTCCTGGATGTCAGAAAGGAGGACATTGTGCAGGCAGAAATGAGGCGTCCACACAGTGTTCCAAATTGCCCCAAATGTCTAGGAGCAACTAGCAAGCCAAGTGCATTCCAGTCGACAGACAAGAGCCCTAGGCCCACACCTTCCCCAATCTCTCTCCAACAGTCGAACAGATCTAGGTAGTGGGTTTAACTTCCTGTCTGTCCACACTCAAACAGGTGCTTTGCCTCCATCGTGACAAGCCAAGTTAGGGACCCCAGAGGATGCTATGAATATAGGCCTGAGAGTTGGAGAGTTGGCTCACCACCCTTAAGCAGCTGCAGGGGACAGACACCCCAACAGTTGCCTCTTACCTTTGCCTATTACAAGGCCACACTTATCAGCTGGCACTGTGTACGTGATCTCCTGCACACCACCAGGAGTGCCCACACTCCAGTCCCCACGGCCACGGCCTCTTCCTCTAGCTACCGCCAGGCCTCCAAGGCCATCTCTTTCCTGGTAAGGAAAAAAGGTGACAGTGAGGACGTCTGCCACTGCCATCAGCACATCTCACCCTCTCTGGTGAGAGGGTTAAATGACAGGATATGCCAACGCCACACGCTGAACCCTTAACACTTCAAACTCAGAACAGAATTCACCAACATTGTTACAAAAAGACACCTGCTGGCACACACAGCACCCCACACCTGCCTAAAAACGGAAGCCAGAAACTCTAGCTTGAAGCCTGGGACCATCTACTTTTCATTACAGGGCCCTAAGGATTAGGCATTACCTGAAGTTAACTCACGTTAGGTCTACTGGAGTAGATAATGGATACAAAAGAGATACTGGTAGCATCTGAGAGTATGTGACTGAACTTCTCCACAAGGCTGCCGTAGAGGACAATGGCCAGCAGAAAGCATAAAAGGACTTAGGGAAAAAGTTCTTGGTCTAGTGAGATGGATCAGTGTTGTAAAGATTGCTGTCCTGAGCTCAATCCCTGAGACTTACCTGGAGGAGGGGAGATCCAAATCCTGCAAGTTGTCCTTTGACTTCTACACATAGGCCATGGCATGTGAACATGCACATATAATGAGTGCAAATGTAATTTAAAAAGGCATAGAAATGGAAGGCATACCGAGAAGGCCATGCAGAAAGATCCTCAAGAGTGACTTCTTTGGTGGTGTGGGGGTGAAGGAGGAGGGGAGGGAGAGGGAGCTGGGTTTGACATGTGAAGCAAGCTTGTTTCTAATTTAAAAAATGTAATAAATAGCCGGGCAGTGGTGGCGCACGCCTTTAATCCCAGCACTCGGGAGGCAGAGGCAGGCGGATCTCTGTGAGTTCGAGGCCGGGCTGGACCGACAGCCTCCAAAACAATACAGAGAAACCCTGTCTCGTAAAACAAAAACAAAAACAAAACAAAAAAAAGGTAATAAATAATAATAAATTAAAAAAGAAAATGATGCTTTCATGTAATCATTATTTTAAAAGATATATTCTAAATTAGAGTCTATACTATCAAAATTGTAACCTGGAAGTATGAAAGGCCAAGTGATGCGAGACCAGTGTAAACTCTGACTGTAATGGAACGTGTGCATGAGAGGCAAAGTAACTTAGGTGTTGTCCTAGCCAAAACAGGTTGATTACTGAATCTCCTTAAACCAAAAAGAAACAATTAGTTTTAAATATTTTATATTTACATGGATTTTATATATTGATACAAACTTATGATTATTGTTGTAATATGCTGTATATATGTTTCTAATCTTGTTCAAAGTATTGTACCTATTAGACACATTTAACAATAAAAAAAAGAGTGACTTCTTAAGAAGGATGGTGGCAGATGTCTGTAACCCCAGAGATTTGGGGGAGACGGCTGAGGCAGGAGGATTGTGAGCTGGAAACCCAGCCTGTCTTCCAGACTGAGGGACAGAGGACATGGGAGTGACGCCAATGGGAGGAACCCTTCCACTCACTCAAGGGTAGCAGGCCTCACTCTTCAGTGCTGGGGAAGAGGCACCTGCTGGCTATGGAGAACTGTACACTCAACCAGAAGCTAAGCCAGCACAAGGCAAGGCTAACTGCACAGGAAGCCCGACAAGTAAACACATTTCCCTGAGGGTTTCTGATCAGACTCTGGCAGGGGCAGTCAGCTTTCCCAAGGTGGAGATGAGGGACAAGGTGGCTCTTCAGCTTTCACACTTAGACAGAAAAGGTGTTAACCATGTTCAACCCTAAAAAACCACCTGGGCTCTGGGTAAAACCCAAGCCCCACCTAGGTGATCAGGGACTGAACAGGAGGTACACATTTGCAACTGAGAAATAGCCCTTCACCCCTGAGACTGCGGGCAGGAGCCACACCTGGTACATCTCCTGGTGAAAGCCCTTGGTCTGGTGCTGCCAAGATAGTCAGGATCCCTGAAGGCACCTCAGAACTTGTCAGAGGTCATGAGCTAATGGAGAAGTAGATAAGATGATCTCCAATATGCTTCTCAGTCCTTTGACTCTAATTACTGATATGTCTTCACCCCTGCAGGCCTGGAGGATATGCTAATCTACCACAATTTACACGTGTTCCTTAACACAAGTCCTCAGGTTAACATACAAACTCACCTACATTCTAAAGGCAAGCTTGGAACCAAATATAAGAACAGGACTAGGAGAACACACCTCCAATCCCAATACTTGAGAGGCAGAGGCATGAGGATCACTGTAAGTTAAAGGCCATCAAAATGCCTCCCAAAATACCAACAACAAATCCCAGGTGCCATCAGGGATGGAATAGGTTTTGCTGTGCTCCCCAGATTCATTCTACGTTGGTTTTATATCACATATATCTGACTGTTGGAGATAGGCACTCTGCTGTGACACTGTCATCTACAAAGCTCATGTTTCAGAACCACATAACTGGGGATGGAGAGATGTTCAGTGGTTAAGGGCACTTGCTGAGGACCCAGGTTTGGTTCTCAACACCATGTCAGATGGCTTACAACCACCTGTAACTCCAGTTCCAGGAGATCTGACATCCTCTTCCAGCCTCTATGGGTACTGCACACATGTGACACACACATATAAAAGCAAACACTCGTACACATGAAATAAATACAATTACCCAAACAAGACAAAATATTAAATGAAAATAAATTTTAAAATCCCAAACGTTTTACATAAGTTTGTAATTTTGTATTGGACTATAATTATAGCTAGGGTGCATATGACCTATGGGCCAGGGACTGGACACAGCTGTTTGCATAAAGAAAGCGTACGGTATATGAGATGGCTTCCCTAACAACCAAACCTAACAACTGAATTTGATCCTCAAGACAACTATGATGGAATCTCCAGGGAATTGACTGCCACACGCTTGTCATACCATGTATGTGTCGCGCACGCACGCACACACACACGAAATATGTAGTGAAAATCACCTAGATTCTGGGTAATAAAGGCAGGGAGTAATAAACTAGTAAGAAAAAGCATACAGTCAGGAAGAGGCAGATGTGGAAAAGTCTGAGCTCCACTTAGGGGCCTGAGTGGTCAGAGCACCATGGTTCTCTGTTTTTCTGGGTAGGCTCAGTGACCCAGAGTGTTGGACCCACCTGTGCTGTGAGAATGAGCTCATTGATGATGTGCGCTGCATGCTGACACCGATCTGGAGGGCCCATGACCTGAGCTGCTCTTTCTGGACTAATCCCGTCGTCTGTGGAACCAGATGAGAGAGGTAAGGAAAAGCCTGAGATCAAACAGCAAATACAGTCTCGCCTCAGTCTACACTCTCAGAGCAGTGTGATGAGGACTGTGTATGAGTGCCTTTTTACAGAAGAACACTCAATCACTGGGGAGGTTGAGGTAGGACAATAAGGAGCTCAAGCCTAAGCAACACAGTAAGATCTTTGTCCCTTCCACGAAAGGTGTTTATCCTTGTGATACTGAGTTGTCTCTGACTACATAAAACAAAATGGTGTATTTTGTAAAGAAATCTTCACTTAGCAAAATTAAAAACTAGATTATGTCATGCTGGAGTCTTCCTATTTTATGTGTGTGGAGTGGGGTGGCAAGAAAGATCAAGCCAGTACAATCAAGGAAAAACACAACTAGGAAGGAAACAGAGATTGCCAAAGAGAAAGAAAATACACACAGCTAACACAGTCCACTGTCTAGATCTAACACCAAACCAACCTGGTTTGAATTGGATCCTCACGCCTGCATCATTCTGGATCTTTTTGATCATTTCTCCATTTCTTCCTATGACTATCCCAACAGCAAACCTAGGCACAGACACCTAGACAGACAGACAAAATCCATCAGGGCTTCTGCACATGTGGTTTAGTAAACATTCAATTTTAAAATTTATTCTTATTTTATGTGCATTGGTGTTTTGCCTGCACGTATATATGTATGAGGATGTCAGATTTTGAGGTCAGAGAGCTGATGTGAGCCACCATGTGGTTGCTGCAAATTGAGTCCAAGTCCTCTGGAAAAGCAGTCAGCGCTCTTAACTGGTCAGCCATCTCTCCAGCCCCAATTTAAAAAATTTTAATTGTGCGTATGTATGTCTTATAAGCATGAAGGTGCCCACAGAGGCAGTGTAGAGCTTGAGTCACAGGCAGCCCTGAGCTGCTGTGTGGGTCCTGGGATCTCTGGCAAGAGCGGCCACATCTTGAAAGACTATAATAAAGCATTTTTCCCTTTTAGAATAATTTCTTTTTTCTTTTGGTTTTTCGAGACTGTGTAGCTTTGGAACCTGTCCTGGAACTAGCTCTTGTAGACCAGACTGGTCTCCAACTCACAGAGATTCACCTGCCTCTGCCTCCCGACTGCTGGTGTGCACCACCACCGCTTGGTTTTAGGACAATTTCTATGACTGATGATTATATTCCACACAACTCTATGAAAAAGTATAAAATCTGATAAAAAGTTATAGACTAAAACTGTGTACAGATTGAAGATCTAAAATGATTTATCTCTGAATTCTGTGAAACTGCATACAAATACATTGGCTATGTCTGTGGCCTTCTACAGTCCTTTGCTCTTCATCTGCAAACGGAAAAAAGCACAGGCCACAGCATTTGCCATTCAGTCAACCAGAAGTGGAGCGAGCCCATGATGACGTGGAGTGACCAGCGGCACCATCTAGACCCAGTACCTCCAGGTCACCACACAAGCTCTGTACCACTTTGCGCATACTATGCTTTCTGCCTGACTCCATCTTGTCCAGAGTGGCCACTGTGAGTCTAGTTCACTGTACTATGCATGATATTAACAATGTGGCATAAATAAAAATTGCAGGACAAATTTTGATATCATTTCATCTCATTAATAAAACAAGATTCCAAGTCTGATATAATCATAATACAGATCACTGTGAAAACTTGGGATTTTGGCTCCCGTCTGGACATAAAGTTAACCTTTAAAACAAAACTGTGAAAACCCAGCAGTTATCTACCCTGAAAGGCAGTTAGCTGGTTTTCCATGCTCATTTCTTCTTCATACCCTTGAGCAGTGTGTGTACTCTTAAAGAGCTTTGAAGATGAGAAAACTACATAACCAGTTTGAGGCTAAGGAGCTGACAGAAGTGTGACTGTGATTTTAGCGGCACATTTTTTTGAGTGGGGAGACAGGCCTGGTGGCTTGGGCTTGTTATGTAAACCAGGATGGCTTTGAACTCAGCCTTGTTTGCCACTGACCTGTGGGTTCAGCTCACCTCTATACTACCTCCTCCTGCTCGGGAGGCGAAATCACCACGCACACCCCGGAAGTCAGCCTGGTCTTTCTCTCGGATGATCTCTAGGACCATTTCTCTTGCTTGCTGCACAAACAAAAACAAAAAGCACCAATGGGGGAAATGGAGGAAAAAGACAGCAGCAGGTGGAAGGCCAGGGTCAGATCAGTGCGGCCCAAGACTGAAGATGCTGAGCTGCCGACAAGGATGAGCCCGAGAGCACGTTCGCCACCAGTAAGTTTTCCTCAGGGCGGCACCTTCCAAGAAGCTGGGGATGAGTCTGTGGAGCTCTTCTACCACACAGGGATACCTAGGCTCAGCCCCTAGCACTGTGTAAAGGGACACAGCGGCTGAATCCAGCGGCTTACACCTGGAAACTTGACTGTGCCAACACAAGACACAACCGACTGTGTACTTATGTTTGTGTTGGCATGGGAGGCCGGAGACCATCCTAGGCACTGCTTCTCTGGAGATGTTCACCTTGATTTTTAAGATAGGGTTTCTTACTGGCCTCAAGGTCTCCTAGGAGACTGGGCCAAGACTGGTCAGAGTTTTCTCAGGATCCACTTCTCTCTACTTCCCTGAGCTAAGATTAACAAGTGCCATTCACACAAAGCTGCTTCTTTTCTTTGGAGATTGAATTCAGGTCTTAAAATGCTTGCTTGCAAGGCAATCATTTTATCCATTACATCATTTCTCCAACCCAGTAATCTTATTTTAAAGAAGGCTGGAAGCTCTTCGGAGGAGGGGGCCACTGGGAGCAGCTGGCCTGAGGGAGGGAGGAGCTACAGCACTGACAGTCCTACACCTATCTCTCACCAGTAGCACCCTGGTGCAGAGCGCGCAACTGAAGGAGAGGGCAGTGAAACCGAGGGACTGACTAACTTCACTGGGTAAAAGTTCAATGCTCTTTTTGTTTGTTTTTCAAGACAGGGTTTCATTGTGTAGCCCTAGCTATCCTGGAGGCTCAGAGATTCACCTGCCTCTGCCCCCTGAGTGCTGGGATTAATGGCATGCACCACACAGCCCAGATCCATTGCTCTTAAAGAAGCACAATAGGTTAGGTGCAGTAAGAAGACAGGCTGCTGATGACATAACACTAGAATTTCATTGACAACACATAATCACAGACACATTTCTGCTCCAGCAAGAGGGAGTGTTCAGCCATAGGCCTAATTCTGCTTTCTCAGCGCAGGAAGCTGTGTTGAGGGCAACATGCCTGGCACCTGTTTTCATCTGGCCTGGATTAAGCTGACCACAGCACAGCAAGGCTAACATACTGGGTCACCCAATATTATCTGCAATGTGAAAAAATAGTGTACACACTGTCTCAGGCAGTGGCATGTTATTATGTGGCCACATCTAGTTACATTTCCCCAAAGAGGTACCACCAGCTGCCAACAACTTGGGTTAGATCAGCAATTCTCAACCTATGGGTTAACATCCCCTTGGGATGTTCAATGATCCTTTCACAAGGGAAGCCTAAGACCATCAGAAAACACAGATATTTACATTATGATTCGTAACAGCAGCAAAATTAGTTATGAAGTAACAATGAAAGCAATTTTATGGATGGGGTCACCACACCATGAGGAACTGTATTAAAGGACTGCAGCATTAGGAAGGGTGAGAACCACTGGGCTAGACAAATTTAACCCACGAGTTTCCTCCTACCTGTACTTTAAATGGATCTCCAGTGATGCGGAGAGGCTTGTCTGCTCCTGTGGGCAGTGGGCCATCCTGGATCATGACCATTTTCACACCTGTTCGCTCCTGTTGGGGAATATGCAATAACACAGTCCTCAGTGTCATGGGGAAACTGCACGTTACTGCAAGAAGCAGGGCTAGGCCAGTTCATCCTAAGTTTGTGTCTTACCTCCCACCCAGACCTGGGCTGGCTTCAGAACTGTTGACACAGTTCACCCAAGACAAAATTCCAATGTGTCTTTACCCATGTCTGGAGTATCTGAACTCCAGGAAGCCGGTCCTACTGAGTATTCACATTAAACTAGGTATGCTCTGCTTATCTGTTAGCGGACGACAACCTGTGCCACCTGCAATAAAGCACCGCTGCCTCCCAGGTATTGGTGAGATGAGTTCTCAAACTAACCCAGGGGCCTAGGGCCAACTGGCTGAAAAGCAGGTTCTGTGACACCAAATCCTAAGATTTACAATTGACCCTAGGCTGTAGGAGGCTTTCTACAAATCTGAGGTTTGGAATATGACACACAGGTCACCACTCACAGTTGTCAAGTCCCAGAGTTCTGAAGTCTGCTTAAGATTCAGTAGAACATGCACTCAAGTGAGTGTCTAACCACTCTCCGGTCAGTGTGGGCTGCCTTAGCTGGAGATGTTCAATCCCAAACATTCTTGACTACAAGGTCTCAGTTGACATAAGAGGGTTCCACAGCTGAGAGCTGCCTCCTCGCTGTGACTCATGGAAACTGGGGAGTGGGTATCTTTTCATCTGAATACAGTAAGGCAGTCACCCTACTTTCTACAGACAAGAACCCCAAGCACTTGGAAAAGTAAATGAGCACTTTTGGGTTTTTTGTTTTGTTTTGAGGTCTTTCAATGTAGCCCTGGATAGCCTGGAACACAAAGAGATCCACTTGCTTCTGCCTTCTGGGTTCTTCTGGGATGTTGGGGGAAGACATATACCGTGGCTTGACTTTTGTAGTTGTATGCTCAATTTTGGATAGGGTCTTAATATATATAGCTCAGGCTAGCTTCCAACATATAATTTTCCAACTCTACCCTCCTAAGTTCTGAGATTTCAGGCCTGTGTCACCACACCTAGCTATAAATAAATGCCCCACAAGCCAGATCTCATGTAGCCAAGGATGCCCTCAAACTCATTATGTAGCCTAAGCTGGTCTTGGTCCTCCTGCCCTCAGGCCCCCATGCGCTGAAATTCCAGGTATGTGCCCTTAGTTTGTCTAATGAGCACATATAAGAGCAGATTTTAGGAGCCCCAACTCCAGGCTGTCCCATGTGTCTCTCTCTCCTACCCCAGACACTTGGCGTCAGCATATGTCTGTCAAAAGGAGGAACCCTGTCTCATGTGAGAAGGGTCTGGAAGGGAATAATGTGCAAGGCCAGCCCAGCTCAGCGCCACATGTACTCACACACCTGCAACTGCTTGATTGTTTCGCCTCCTTTGCCGATGACCAGACCCACTTTAGACGCAGGGATGAGAAGCTCTTGAATTGTGCTGTTGCCATCTATGTCATTGTGAAAGCCAGGTCCATTCCGACAGCGGTCCACAATCTGCCCCAGGAGCCGTTTGGCTTGTCTTTGGGAGGGAGAAAAATCACAAACACCCAGCATTAAATGGATGTTTAAGGTCTTCTGGGAAGGGAGATGGTGCCGGTGGAAAACACCAAGGAGTCAAAGCAGTCCTCCATCCAGCTCCAGCTCCTGCCTTACAACCTGGGAGGTCTGAACCATTCGCCATGCTACAGAACTGCAATTCAAAAGCAACACACGCCACACCACATCTCTACAGCTTCCAGGTGGAGTCTCAAGGAGCTGGCCACTGCCACACCCCATTCCCTCTATGTCTGCCCTCTATACCTGCTCGCACTTTCACAATGTCCTGCCTCCTACTTTGAACGTCAGCAGCTCTGGTGGCAGAAGCCTCCTCTTATTCCTTTGTCCATCTCTGCCCCCCAATTCAGCACAACCCTCACAGGGAAACACTCAGCACACATGTTAACAAGGGTGGGGGAGAGAAGGAGCGATGAGAAAGACGGAAGAAAGCAAGGGTTAGTAACCACGCTTGAGCTCCTAAACTCCCAAAGTCTCCCTGTGGCCAGCAACACTGCTTAGGACTTCCAGCTAAGCCCACATCTCCAGTGTGGTTTCAGGGCACAAGGGGCAGTGTCCTGCTGCAGCTGCATTCCAGGGAGCACCCTACTATCTGTCTTCATTTCTGCAACGTGGCAACAGTATACAACCCAGCCTACCAATGTCATATGTTGGGCCAATTTTCTTTTCTGCACCAGAATTTTCCCTGGCTGTTATTTGCAGAATTTATTCTTTAAATCATCACACACCATCTATTTTTTGGTTCCTCTGATACAAACAGATTCAGCAACCAGACAGGCTGGCTGTACTGGACAAAGAGTCCTCCTAAAGGTTAATTCTCAAGCCTCAACTCCTTGGGTAGATACAAAGTAGTAACATTTAGAAGAGTAGGAAGGACGTGCAGTCTTTTGCAGTCTTGAGCCTTTGTGTGCAGAATCATCTTGTGGGCTCTCAGCTGCAGCAGCTTTTTAGTATTTTGCTAGTGTACTAGATTAACCTGTGCTGGAAAAAAAAATGCTGTGACTCCAGCAAAACCATCCAGCTTGCCCTATAATGCACACCTGCCAGTGATATTTATTCTGGTTCACTGCTTGCAATGTTACAGCAGAACAAGAGAATTTAAACCCATCTAGGCTCCCTGAGAAATGGAAACAATAAAACAACCCTACCTATTGAGCCAGACATAATCTCAGCTCCCCCATCCCCTAGTGAAACACTACTGTACGACTGAAAGAGGAAAGTGAGCCACTCCAGCCCACACAGTCCTCCTCCCTAGGAGGAGCTTGGGTTTATGAGTTGATGTTTGGTACAGGGCTCTGAGCAAGCATGTACCAGGACAGGAAATCAAGGCAAATTATCAGGGCTCTCACCAAGGACCTCCAAAGCCAAGGCACCTGCTGGCTGGTTCACAAGGCTCTGTGAGTGGCACAAAAGCCACAAAGAATGGATTCTCTTGGTTCACAAGTATCAGAAGGGTAAGCAGATCAATCAGCCCAGGAAAAAGGCCTGGTGCCCTGTTCTCTGCTGCTTACAGTGATCCAGTCCTCTGACCCAGGCCTGTTCCAGGGTGGGAGGTGTTAACAAGGAAGTGGCTGGCTAGGGTGAGTGTCCACTGCTGAGTCCCTGGGTTTATGGAGAGGTCACAACAGTTGGGAGGCATTCTAGGCTTGTGTGTTCAAGGTAACAGAAGAGCTCTCCTGGCTCGGCATCCTCCCAGGCCTTTCTCCTACTGGAGGTGTGCTGGGGGCGGATTCAACACAGACCAACAGTCTGCAGCAACAGTTTGCCCTTCCATTTCTCCTCACTTGGGGAAGGAGGAAGAAGAGTAAAAGGAAAAAGTAAATAAAACAAACTTACTCAATACTTTCTGGGGTTCCGGTAAGTACACAGGGCCTCTCTGGAATCCCAGAACTCTCTATAAGAAGAATCAAGAAGATGAGGTGTGTTGGTGGGCATCAGGCAACCATGTGCCTTTGCCTCTGTGTGTAGACTGTGTCTCTGGGGCTGGTTCCTACACCACCCCCACAGAAGTGCAGTCTCCCAAAAAGACCAGTTTGTCTTGCTGGGGGAGAGAACTTTAGTTCTCAACATAGAGACTGAGTCCCGCAGGGGAGCCAGGAGGACACAGCAGAGTTCTGTGAGTTGGTCCTGATTACCAACCTCCACTCACTCTGACTGCCCAGAGACTCAGTAGCACCTGAGTCACTTCATCATGCTGCCCTCGCTCTCTGTCTGCAGAGCAGTCTCATGGCCACAAGTCTGCAGACTGCTGAGGGTACTAGTAAGGACTTCACAAGCACATCACAGCAGCTATTGTACCCACATCCCAGGAAATTGGCAGCAGGGATGCAGCATGGCTCCTGGACCATTCGACACCAGAGGAAAACCTTTGTTTCCAATACCCTAGAAAGTGCCTTCTTAAAAAATCCTTCCTCAAAAAAAGTTCAAAGAGGGAACTGGGGATGTAGCATTTGCCTAGTCTATGTGAGATTCTGTATTCAATCCCCAGTGCTGTAAAAACAAGCAAACAAAATTCTCAAGACAAATAGCTAACAGCAATTACTGCCTTCAAGATGCTGCAGCGAGTATCTTATAAATGACAAATATCTTCTACTGGAATGTCTGCAGACCCTTCCTCTCAAAAGGGAAGAAGACACCTCAGATGATATAACAAAACTAAAACAAAACAAAACTGTTCTTCAATCTGTCTTCTAACATCAAATGATCAATACTGACTGTGCTGTGAGGGGTCCTGAAAGGTGTCTGACACACAATCAGCCAGGACCCTACCGTCCTCTCTCCACAAAGTGGAAGGGTGGCTGTACAGGGAAGCTGGGTGCAGGCTCCACTATGCCTGGCATCACATTCTGGTGCAGAAAACATAGGTGCTAGCCCAGCCAGCAGGTGTCAGGAAGAGGCCATGCTGGCCAGAGTTGAGTGTTGCCCTAGAAGGCAAGTATGAACCTCATCTCCAGGCTGACATTCCGCTCTGGTGCTCAGGTGGGGTCCAACTCCACAAATGCAAAACAGACAGCAACCGCACATACTTACCCTAGCTTCTACCAAAGAGCAAAGACACTGGATCTGGAAAATGTTGTGTAACCCTGATTTCTACTAAACAAATCTATGAGGAAAGCAACCCTTACCTGAGGCAATCTGAATTTTGCAACCAGATTCTGCTTGAATTCGTGAAATCTGCTCACCTCCCCTGCCAATAACTGCAACAAAATGAGTAGGGTCAGAATGTACCTCCCCTTCCACACTTACTCATGCACGACTAGCTTAATTAACCCAGCAAACATTTACACTCTGCTCACAGCTCACTACAAGCAGACATTTGGGGAGCCCATCTCAACTCTTGGGCATCACAACAACAGAAGCTAAACATGACACCAGCAGCTAACAGTACTTAGGTGAGGTGAGCATAGCCAGGGGTAGAACCCAATGCCTGCCACACTCCCACTAGCATTTTACCACAGGTGACAAGCTCATAAAAGATTATAACAGACAAGAATTAAGGAAGTATTACAAAAAAGAATAGGTAAGAAAGGAAAAGACAATGCAGATACTTACTAAATCCAACCATTTTATCAGGCACTTTGAATTCTTCTGTTATTACTGCCCTAAAAACAATGTTTTTAAAGAAAAAGTCAGAATTCAAAATTCTACAACCACCTTAGATCCCCAAGACTAAAGCTTACAACAAATCATACTGATTCATGCCCCTCCCCCCACTCAGAGAGTGTCATTTCCGGAGCCCCTTTGGTCAAGCATGCCTCAAGAACACCCAAGCATCCAAGTCTCCACCCCTTCCCACCTCCCGGTCAGAGTAGAAACATTCAGAACCTTCCCTAGCTGCCTGTTCTACATACAGCTGTGTTCTGATTGCAGGGCCGAACAGATGCTGTCAACCCCGGGACAGTTACAGATCTGCTAGGGTTTGGAGAGAGATTCAGGTATCTACTAGGGAGTGCCCTCTAGATACAAACAGAGTCAACTTTGTGGATTTCTTGATCTTTTTGTTTCCTGGCCTCCCTCCAATATACCTGTGTCTTCTAAGGTAGTATGTGCCCAAGAAAACCAGCACCCTGCAGAGCCTAATCAGTGCTGGCCAAGCTAGTATAATCGCCTCACTTGTGCTGTGAGAGACTCTTGTTAAATGCGATCCTGTCCATCAGGTTGCCTTCAAAAAAAATAAAACAAACCAAAACAACAACAACAAAAAAGATGCCACTGGCTCTTTCAAACAAACTTTGAAATGCAACATACAGTGTATTGTGAACAATATCCAATTGCCCAACATCCTGGAAAGCAATTAAATCTAAACATTTACCTTAGGGGATGCTAAATACAAGTAGTTAAAAAAAAAAAAAAGAAAGAAAGAAAAAAGCATACATTTTTAAGCATCTCCCACACAGCTGGATTTTTGCCCATTGTGGAAAGGACCAAATACAGTGCACGTTTTCAGGGGAGTGCAGCACTTAGAAGAAAGCCAACAGCATAAACAGCACTGCCACCACATCACTGTGACAGGAGCTATCCTCAGCCCGTGTAAAATGGGATTTTTCCTCATTTCTCTCCCTCTCAAGCAACACAAGCATTCACCCAATCCTAATGGGGCCAATTCTTGGCATCCAAGAGCCCTTGAGACCTAGCAACCCCTGGCCCCCACACCCCCTTTCCCAGGCCAGCCTGACAATGGTATGTTTCAGCGCAGCTGTCAGGACCATGGCGTCCTGTACGTACACAGGACTGACCTGCACACACAGGACTGAGCACTGTGCCTGCCGAGCTGTCCACAGGAACTGACGAGAATGCCTTCTGCACTAGTACAGTGGGTGGGTGATGTCAGGACTGGGTGAGCCCTGTATGGGGTCTTACTTAGCATGCTTGCTGGCAGTCCTAAACTCATCCCCAGTATTGAAAACAAAACCAATCCCAACAAGATCCCCCCAACAACAACACACACAAGGGAGAAAACTACAAAGCTGGACAATTCCTCAGCCCTCATAAACAACACTGGCAATCAGTCTCAATCTCTAACTCCCCTCCAATGCACCCCCTCTCTGTACCTCTGGCTGGCCTGAACTTCCCATGTAGACCAGGCTAGCCCTGGACTTACAGACATCCCATCTATGTCTCACAAGTGAGGGATATAACACCACACCCAGCTCAAATGTTTTCTTCTGAAGGCAAGGCTGAAACTGGTCTAAGGCACTATGAATAGGTATTCTGGAAAAGTAACATGCCAATTACAGTGTAACAAGAAATGCTTATCAGCATTTAATATGAACAACCTCATATAAGTTATTTTAACTCATTAACAAACAAAACAACGCAAACAAGAAAATCAGGCTAAACCTTCCATTTAACGACTCTTAGTGATGTTTAGAAATCCCCAGCATCCATATAGAACACAAGGGCAGAACTGTGTCCTGGCAGTGCAGACTAAGGACACAGTTGACAGTTAACAGTCTGTAGAGGAGAAGCACCACAGTTTCCTGGGCACTTTCCCCGCTTCCTGTAGGTGATGCTATGACCAGATACTCATAGATGGGCCCTTTTAAAGTCTAGGGTCTTTGTATCTAAATTCTCAGCTTAATGGAAGGCTATGAGGGAGAAGAGAGGCAGAGAGCAAACTAGGCACCAAGCCAAAATTCTCCCAACAACCCCTGATCCCAGGCACATCTTGCTTCTGAAGCCCCATACTCTGTGTTCATCCAAGAACTGCATTCTTCTGTGAAGAGGCTGCAGATCCTCAGTCACAGAACCAGCAGGACAATGCATCCCTCCTTTCAAATTTAATCTACAGTGGAAGAGAGCAACTCCAGCATTGTGAAAGTCTCTTGAGACTCAACAGGGGCTGGCTTAGTGCCTCTGTCAGTCTGCTCCCTCCGGCCGACGGTGTTTTGGAGAGGGCTGACAGAAATCATGGGTCTTAAGGAAATGTAGCCCCTGGCTTCCCATACTCCCAACCTCTGACTTGCTAACACTCCAGTGCAGATGGTGGATCAATAAACAATTAGAAATGATCAATAAATAATAAAACATAACCCACTGCTTACCTTTGATGTACCAAGGCCCCTAACTGGTTACCTACTGTGGCAAAGAGAAAGAGAAAAGAAAAATCAAAGCATTAGCACGGATAAACTAACTTCATCCTTACCCACATTCTTACTGTTCAGGGGGTGGGAAGGAGACAGAAAGAAAGCAAACAGTAATTTAGGCTCAGTGGCTGAAATGAATGCGTTATGTGATATGAAACAGGAGGGGACGTCTTGTTCAACAGTCTCTAACCCAGTGTCCAGCTGAACGAGGGATAAGAAATTGATCTGTATGTCCTCATGCTGAGAGGCCTAGGAAGGAAGCCTGTCTAAATCCTGTCCGCTCCCTCCTGCTTGGCATTCAAACCCAACGTAGATACACCAGGTCCTTCCTGCTCTTTTAAAACCAAATGAGAAGATTTATCTCCTTGGAAGCACTGTTGAGGACTGCTCCATGGCAGCTGCAGAGCTGTAGTCTCTAGGAACATGCACATATGTCCCTGCTCTGCTAGCCCCTACCCCACCAGAAGAGCACCACAAAGGACCAGGTTCCTTCCTTCTGCAGCAGCAGCAGCAGCGTCTCTAGTCCATTTCACAGAGCTGAGTGCCAGCGGCTCTCACGACCAGGACAGGCTCTGCAAACCATATTCCCAGAGTGGCTCTGCCAGGCTCCCTGGTCTAGTTTCTGTCTCTCAGCTATTGATGTGCGCCTCCTTCACCAGTCATCAGCAGAAATGGTTCTGTGCTATTTCTCTTCTGGAAAATGCAGTTCAAGAAATACAGTCAGTGGACAAAGGGAGACTGTAAACCCTAGAACTGAATGAACCTTTCGAGATGCTAAAAGAGCATTCAAAAATGTCTCTGGGCAAAGAGGGAAAGCATCAATCATACCGATGTCTGGAAAAGCGAGAAGGCTCAAGAAGGCCAACTGCTGTTTCCTGTTCAGTTCCCCTGCCATTCCCTGCACAGTAGAGGCCCATAAAGAGACAAACAAAAGCAAACCAGACCATGACATGCTAAAAGGAGAGAAAGCAGAGAAACAATATAGCCAAAACTAAACTGCTGAGTTCATTGAAGCTATTGATCCAGAAAAAAATACCATATTCCACCTGGATCAATAGCAAGATGACAGTCTGCAACCAAAGCACAGACACTGTATGCTGTTAATCGCTTATCTCAGGGGAAGAGAGTTGTCTTTAATTGACTTTTAGAACTTTCTTTGCCCTTACCCAGTGCTCGATTCCCATTTACATGAAAACTGGACACTCTCCAGCTTAGGAGAGGAATCCCCATCACAGGTTTTGCTCCAAAACTGTCCACCAGCGAAGGAGGGGACAGAAGAAAATGCCGAAGAGAAGGGTAAGGGCAGAGGCTTATGGGCTGCACAGCTGTTCTATCCCTGTAATTCCAGCACTTAAGAGGCTGACCTAGCCTTAGTCACACACATAGATTTCAAGGGCAACTTGGGCTATATATAGTGAACCCTGTCTCAAAAGAAAGCTTAGCTTCTTCAATTTCCATCAGAATTCTCCTACTAGAGGATGAAGAGTCCACAAGTACAGAACTAAACAACAGCTAGTGAATGCAGCCTTCAACGAGAGAGCTATATGGTAGACTGCAAGCCCCTGGCTTAGACACCACAGGCTGATGATCTTCAGCTATGACTGTCTCTGGCAGAGAAGTCACAGGAATACAGAAGGACAACTTGGCCACAAAGAACCCTGTGAGACTTGCCGGAACACTCCAGGGCTTCTGTTCAAACACCACTCAATGACAGCCTGTGTTCATGGCAACAGAAATTCCTTTTTGTTGGCAAGGTACATGTCACTGGCCATGTACATGGCATCATTCTAACTGTCTCTCTGACACTTGGAGGTTCTCCCAAACACCAGAACCAAACCTGCACATACCATCCTCCCTAAATACACACCTTCAAGGGCCATGGTGTCAAAGGACTAAACAAGATCCCACCAAGTCAGTATTCAGTCTCAGGCAGGCTGAGAAGCCCAGATCCTCTCCCATCTCCATGCAAGCACAACACACGGTTACTACACATGTGTGGCTTCATGCACCTATTTTATTGGGTACCTAAAAATGGAACCAACAGTAAGAAAGGACATTGGGCATGTACATGTAACTAACATGTTCTCTTGGGCCTCCTCTGTCCTCCTGGTGGGAAGATCACACTAAGGAGGCACCTCACTTCCTGAGTCCCCGTAACTAAACTCCAGCACACCTGCACACATAGGGTAGTTCTCACTGACCTTCCACACCAAACAATGGAAACTGCCTGGGATGCTGAGGGCTAATGAACTTCTCAATGTGAGGCAGCTGACAATGTAAGAAATTATTTCTGAGGAGTAGCACTCTGCCAATTTCAGCAATAATCTTAAAAAAAAAAAGGAATGGTGCCAAATATACTCTTTCTCATGAGGAAAAAAATGTTGTAACGAGCAGCAACTTTACTAATCGTCTGTTCCTGCTCCCCCCCAACAACTTGTGTTTGAGTAGATAGAGTTCAGCTCCAGCAAGAAGAAAAATGGCAGGACTTTTAGGCAAAACAAAAGTAATCTTTTCTTCAGATTTTTGTTCTAAGTCTGTATTTGTGTCCAAGAGCACATTCATTTGTTGTGCAGGCTTCATGGAGGTTCAGGTCACTGCTGCATACACCAGGCTAACAGGCTTTCAAGCTCCGGGAAGTGCTGGGATTGCAGACACTGCACACTGAGCCCAGCTTTATACAGGTTCTGGGGACAAGACCTCAGGCTGTCACGTTCTCACACAAGTGCTTTACCCACTGAGCTATCTCCCCAGACCTCGTCTCCTGACTATCAACCCTCTCCTCCCCATCCATACCCGCCCCCGCCCCACCTGTCTCTTCGGATTAAAATGAGCCCTTTCCCAGTCTCAGTTAAGGTCAATGATATTCAGGTGGCTGAGGGGGGGGGACACAAAGGCTTCCTGTGTCTTTTACAGTAACTCCTGTTCCAGACCACAGACCACTCCTCTGCTGAACCCAGCTGAAAAAGAAAGGCTTTGGGCAAGTAATCTATTACTGATTTTGCTAATTACTTTTTGTTTGCTTGTTTGTCTCTCTAATGTAGTCCTGGCTGTCCTGGAACTCACTATGTAGAGCAGACAAATCTTGAACTCAAGAGATCTGACCACCTTAGGCTCCCTAACGCTGGGATTAAAGGTATGCGCCACCATGCCTGGCCTCCAATTGCTTATTTTTGAGAACTGACAGAAGGGAGGTAGAGACAGGATAACTGAGGGTTCTAGGCTAGCCTAGTGTACTTGGTGACATTCTCAACAAACAAAGAATAGGCAACTGCTTAATAGTTCCTCACCACTAAACTCAACAAGTATAGGTTCTGCTCAGTCCCCATTCCTTTCTTTGGACACTGAACAAATCCTAAGGATGCTTGTCCTGACCCTCAGCTTTCTCATTTTTTTCTAAAGACACCCCTAAGCCCCATGCAACGGCTCGCCAACTTCCATGAACATGTCATCCCCCCCCCCATCCTAACTAAAAAGGTATGGTGCTTTCTTCCTCTTCCACATCTCCTTCCTCCTAACGGCTTTGAGTTATAGCCTGTATGCTCTGTAGTTTCTCTCAAACTGGAATAAATTGGTCTGTAGTCTTCAAACACTAAGTGACAATGAGTGAGGAACATGCCTGCTAGCCCATCACTTTGGAGGTAAAGAATCAGGAGTTTGAAGCTATCATCAAAAATTGCAAGTTCAATGTCACTCCTGTTTGCTCATGAGCAAAAAAGACCACCACCAGCAACTCCATAAGGCGCTGCCCCTGCTCTCCCTACTACCAGGGAGATGCTGCCATTAGCAGCCTTCCAGGGCAGAGCACAGGACACCTGCAAACTCACTCTAGCTGCCTGGATCCACATGGGCCCTACAGGGAGCTCTGCCATTTATCCTGGCACTTTCAGATCACTGCTTAGAAGGTGCTGAGGATAGAACCCAGACTCTCCTGCATACTAGGTCAGTATATGACCACTGAGCTACACCCCCATCCTGTAATATTATTTCTGTTATTCCTCATCTACCACATCAGGTCCTTTGGTTGCTTAAGAGTCCAGTGTAGACTAACGTGACTGGAGGGTCAAGGATGAACAAGAACCTGGACCTCTCCACCAGTACACCTTAAAGCCAAGGCCTGATCCAAGAAGCAACAGTGTGACAGTGAGTGAACAATGAGGTCTGAGGCTATCAGCACAGCACTGAAGCCTTCCTCCCATGATAAATATGGGGAACCACTTACCACATAGTAAAGGTTTACATTTTATAAGTCTTTATTTCAGTTCTGTGTGACTAGTTCCGATGGAAACAGGATTTAACTCACTTGTGATAGTTTTACAGTAAAAGCACGTCCTTCCTTTCTTTTTTGTGGTGGCTACTACTGAGCTACAGTCTCAGTCCTTAAAAATATCCTCTATATCCCTCACAGGTAGTCTCACGACAGAGCTGTCATTGATTACAACCCATCCAGCTCCCCAACACTAGGGCTGCGCCTGGATGAAGACTTTCTAGAAGGAAATCTCGTTCAACTCTGCAATCTAACACGAAGCAGGAGAGCACAAGCCAATGCTAGGGGGTTAGCTTTAGGCAGAACAGAGAAGCAGCAGTTGAGCAGGCTGCTGCCGAAGTGGAGGTTGACCGGTCAGACAGCTCTGGGGAGCTGTACACCTCAGCATGTACAAAGTCTGACAGGAAAGCACTGCAACTGAGAGCAGGGATTTCCAAACTGATGGAATGTCACAGGGTGTCCCTAAAGACGGAGAACATGCGGTAACAGCATTCAGAGGTGAAGGGTTTTAGAGTTTGGGACTTGTCATAAAGCCTGATGACCTCAAATTTGACGCACGGAACCCACAAATAAAAGTAAGGAGAGTCCTTTGACTTCTGTGTACAACACACAATAGAAAGAGTGATGAGTGTGTGACTGCTTGAGCTACATGACAAGCCCGATTCCCACCTCTGCCTCAAAAAGACTAAGAGTCTAGGGAACAGCACTGAGGTCTGGTGAGTTGAGCTGCTATCCTCCTGTAGTACCAAGCACGCTTAAGAAATCATCTCTGGGGCTGGAGAGATGGCTCAGGGGTTAAGAGCACTGGCCGCTCTTCCAGAGGACACAGGTTCAATTCCAGCACCCACATAGCAATTTGCAATTCCTTGTAACTCCAGTTCCAGGGGATCTGACACCTCACACACACATACATATATAGGCAAAACACCAATGTACGTTAATTTTTTAAACAAAAGCATAAAAGGAAGAGGAGGGAGAGGGGGAGGAAGGAGAAGGAGGAGGGCCGCACCAAAGCCATCTGAGGTGGCACTCACAAGTGCCATTCCCTAGACTGTGCTGACTTATTCCTGTGCATACAAGACACTTCTCCTGGTGGCCAGGGAGTGAGAAGATGAGGATGAGGCCAAGAGGCCCAATTTCCAGGGTTCTTGTGCAGCTCAACAGAAAATTCAAATTCTGAACTTGGAGAAAAATAAACAATTTTCTCTAAGTTATTTAACAAAGAGGTTTACTTGATCAAACCGTGATGCACAGTGCAGACCACCTGAGGATAATGTCTTGTTCCTCAAGTACAGTTGGTTGTTTTGAACAAGCGTGCAGCGGTAAGGGAGACCTAGTAAGATGCAGCTGTACTCTTCCTGGTACTTCCTCACTAAGAAAGCATATCGGGAAAAGGAAGGGAAGGGGAGCTAAACTGGTGGGCTGTCTGACCTCACCACCAGCAGAAACAGAAAGTGTGCATCTCACAAAGAGGTAACAAGGCAGAGACATACTAGGGCATGCCTGTAGTCCCAGTCCTGGGGAAGTAGAGACACCAGGGTTAGGAAGGACTTCATCCTGGGTTATAGAGCAATTTGGAGGCCAGACTATGCTACCCCCTCCCACCCCAAAAAAGCAAAGTAGGCACTTGCCTTTGATCTCAGCATCCAGGAGGCAAAGGCAGGTGGATCTCTCTGAGTTGCAGACCAGTCTGTTCTACTAAGTGAGCTCCAGGACAGCCAGGGATACACAGTGAGACCCTATCTCAAAAAACAAAATAAAAGATGTGAAAATACATGCATTATAACAAGGACTTGGGATTTTAGGTGAGATTCCGGTCTTCCCTTCAGATTCTGTCTCCAGTATCCATATCTCACAATGTTTACTGTTCGTATTCAGGAATCTGTACTGGCCTGTCCTTGAAGTTCTGACGGTATGCCCTCAGCAGCAGCCACTAGGAGTACCAGTACCACCTGTGCACATTCACTACATACTATCCCCCCCCTTTTTAAAGGGCCCTGCCAACCTCCCATCCTCTCTCTCTGTAGTCCCGCCCCATCCTGTCCTCTCTTTCTTCTCTCCCACAGCACCTGTTTCTGGGAGGCCAGTCTCCCCCCCGCCCCCTTTTATGATCCCCTTCCCTAATAAGAAAAACAAAAACAACAACAACAACAACAAAAAAAAAAACCCTCTGCTTGAACGCTGTCACATGGTCTGTCTTTCTCTCATGTGTCACTTTTCTTAAATTACAGCATACTGACTTCTTTCAAACAGGAGAAAAATGTCTTAAGAGTGCCATAGGGTTTCACTAGCAAATATTTAGGTATCCCCTATGCAAAAGACAGCATTGCCCAACTTTGTACACTTCAACTCCACAGGCTGAATTGCTAGACAGGAATGGGTAAACTGTAAAGTGATTGATCATGATTTCTGGGAACATTGGACTAGAGAGATACCATCCATTAAGAAGATCTGTGCTCAGAGCCAGACAACTCCATTTTATTCTTATATTGATGTCCCACAG